CTGGAGGGCCAGGAGACTGTGTTCGTCAGACCTCTAACCATTGACCAACCTGGTGTGAGAGACTGTGTGAGTGTCGCGGGACACTCTCCAGTATAGCTCAATGGATCGCTGAGGTGCGCAAACCACCACACCACGGTAAGGTCCAGTCTCTTCGTGACGGTTATTTTTCACGGGTTGGTCGATTATCGGGAGCGTTGGGTTCATGAGAATTAAGTTTAGCCCTGACCGAGGATACATCGACTGTACCTTTACCATGGGACGGATTCATTAACAACGCCATTCAAATGGCCAGTGTTGGCAACTGTTTATATGACTCCATCGATTGTCGGAACCTATGGTTGTGCGTGGAGATAAGAGGTGTCCCTTCTAAATTCCTATCGCTTATCAGCACACTGCAAACTCCTGTGCATGTACGGGTATTCAGCTTTGTCCTGAGTTCACGTCCAGCGGTTTAAGACAAGGCTATCCTCTCTCACCATTCCTCCTCAACTTTGTTGTTTATTTGCTGCTTGAATTTTTTCTGCTTATCTGGGGACCCTCAGTGACCGGGACGTTCCTGGGGCGTTCGTTCACAGTCACTGATTACACGGACGATATTGCTGCCGTGGGTTAAGATCCTTCGAGCATTCAAACTATTTTAAATACCCTAAATAATCTTGCCGCATGGTTTGGTTTGCTCCTCGTACCTGCAAAACGTAGTGTTGCAGGGTGGGACTAAACACAGACCTCGTGCTTGCAGACCAGCCAATCGATAGATAAATTTCTTTGCTTGGGCAGTTGTACAAGTTCCAGTGGACTGGTTGCAGTTCACTTCTCGAATTGGAAAGGTCAGGGTAATGTTTGCCAAGCTCCAACACCTATGGCGCTGGCGTGACATCAGTTTGTGTGCTAAGAATAAGGTGTTCACTGCGGCGGTAAGATCCAGGCTGTTTTATGGATCAGAAACGTGGCCTCTACGGCAAAGGATGTATGGAATTTTGGTCTTTTACCACTGATGTCTCTGGCAGTGAAGCATCAGTGCCAACACTGATGTTGCTGTCATTGATGATGATGATGTCTCCGATAGGTCTTTTGTGAGTATCGAGTTTACGATACTGAGGTGCGCCAGATGGTTTTGGGAAAAAGGAACCCCACCGCGATGGAAGCTTGCAGTTTACGCTGGTTGGGATATGCACCTCGCACGCCAGAGGATCGTATTTCTCGCGAAGCTCTCTTTGACGAAGCCTATGCTGAGTGAAAATGACCGAGAAACGGATGGTGTATGAACTGACAACGAGTAATGCAAGCGCTGGCTAGTTGACAACTGTTGCATTCGTGGATGGACACCCTGCGACCTGCCTTTTCTGTGGTTAGTGATACTCGCGGACATGACTGAATCATGTAATCAGTGGCGCTCGCACATCAGTTTGCACTTTCAGTTTGCTGTTCGCTCAGCTAACTAGACTTATTCATTACGGACTAACTCACTATGCTATTGTCTTCAATACTTGGGCGAGATAGCCCAAGTGGTTAGAGCGCGAATTTACTGACCGGAAGGTCCGTGGTTCGAACCCGACCTCTGCCACTCGACTTCCCCTGTCTAGGCTGTCATCCAGGCCCGTATTTTGTCATTTTCACCTTACTCTTCTGTCCGCCATCGCACATAAAGGTTACCGGACAGTAACCACTGATCAATACAAAGGACCTTCCGAATAGATGGTGCCGCTATTTCCTGATGGATTCCACGATGGTATGCGCCTCCTCAACGGCAGAGTGATCCTTCTTGTTTGAATTAAGTTTCCCCAGTCGATGGTTTTGGTTGAGGAATGCGGCTGTAGCAACGTTCGAAGCATTCGTTTCATCAACCTTAGAGTCCAATTCTGGAGTCTGGACTGCTCTTGCTAAGGCTTACTAGTATCTCATCCCTCCTGCTCCCATCGGGTGGAATGGCGACAAGGCACCGAAAGGGTGTTACAGCTGGACGACGACGGGTAGCTTATCACATGGTCACATTATTGCGTCTAAATCACGGATAGATAAGGGTAGATAGATAGGGTAATGAATATTCGGATCCTGCACTTCGATTGAGGATGTGACTAGGTTTGTTGGAAATTCCTGTGTATTACTGCATTTTCAGCTGTGTGGATCACATTGAAGACGGTTCTCACCATGGAAATACAAAACTCTCCTGAAAGTACTGTATACTTTTCTGTTTTCTCTCCGCTTTCAAGAATACTGAACTACCGGTCACCCAAAAACAACTTAAAAACTAAGAGCTGATTTATTTTACTCCAAAGCCATTCCCACAATAGTCTCATTACTGCCTTTGAGTTATTTTTTCTTGGCATTTCGCGTCAGTCTGAGATGAAATTTTCCGTACAACGAGAAATTTTTCATCTAAATTTAAACCAATAATGAAACGAGGATTTTTCCGGCTGCTAAATATCTCATTGCGGTTGTCCACTGGAATTCTCTGCGTATCAGTTTTCTCATCCTCAGTCAGCAAATGCAGTCCACGTAATAGCGTAGTGCCAATATCACGGGAGAAGATTTCGAAGTCGTTTGGCGAGTTATTTTTCACGGGGTAAACACATATTTTCATGTTTTTCTTTTGCAGCTTCACTTGGGATAGATTTTTATCTAAATTGGACCATATGAGACCAAATTTGAGCAAGAGTGTGACTGGTCAAACGACGCAGTTGTACTCGGGACTAACAATGAGCATCAATCGTGCGACCCTCCCTAGCGTTCCGTTCTTCGTCCCGCCTAATCAAACGCCTACTGCTTCTGAAGGTGTTTCCTCTTTTGTTGGACAGGATGATCCAGCGGTGGAAACAAATTCTTCTGCTACGATATCTAGCGCTTCTTTGAGTGGCGCGCCACTGCCTCCTATTGAAATGGTAAACAGTTAATTTTCTTGTCTCACAACCTTGTCGGTTGAGTTCGCTTCTGCATACATTCTAACGGGGTTAGTATCAGAACCTGCCATTATTTGATTTGGTTTGTGGTTTTGTAGTTTTTTCTGTGTACTTCGTGGCCTCTGATAGGTCTTCAGACACTAGAAATGTCATTGTTTTACTTCTCAGCTTGCCTCCTGGATAAGGGCTGTGAGCACTCCTTTTACTGACGTTGATGGCACTGATGCACGTGACGCCTCATCTGATATACATATTCCTCAAACTATATGGAATAGGTAGTACCTACAGTTCCCCAGCTTCGCGCCCAATGAATGTAAGCGTGGTTCACTGAAAGCTGTAACGCCTCATACGCATTAGTGACTGTTTGGAACAAGAGAACCTCTATATAGTTAAAACGTCGATAGCTAATTGACATCCTGGTAGATTTGCCCACATCCAGGGAAAGCCCCATGATACATGGGGCATATCACACCTCCAAGCCGTATTAAGGAAGCGCACTACAAACTTCGTTCTCTATAGTGTCTCCCCTCGTCGTCCTTCATCGCTCAGCAAACTGTGGTAGGTGTAACCGCTGTACGATTCGGTTTATAGCTGATAGTTACGGTGGAGTGACTGAGCTTCCATTGCTTGCCTGATATGCTTTTCGGGCTGGAGATATAAATCCAACTCAACTACACTCGTTGATGGCCGTGGATGGGTTCAATATACCGGCACATAGGTTAAACGCGATGTTTTTCACTTATAGTGTGATTGATCCTTACTAACTGTAGTGAATAAATGTTATGAGTAAAACTCCAGCTACGATTTGCGTTTTATACAAGGGAGCCCCGATTGACTAAACGTTCCTTGGGAGCGAGGTGTCTGCAGACCCTGAGGTTTTTTATCATACCCACCTGCCTGTCTGGTTGCCCAGGTTTGGAGGTACTTTTTTAAATTAATGGTCCGTTACCCACTAGTGGTAGTTTTGCCGTGTGCCCTCCATGAAGCCTTTAGAGTAGATATTAGTCAGGATAGGGCGAAAACCGTCTGATCCGTTCACCCTTTACCCTAAACGTGACGATGACAACTTCTGACCTGTTAGGGTCACGTTCAAATAAATTCATCGATCTCGTTGCGCAACAGGTGTGCACGTAAATGTGAATGTGCTTTTCATACAAAGACAGGTTTACAGAACTGACACCAATTAACCGGAAGACTGACGACAGGAATGGATATGTTGATACAGGTGTTCACTTATTCTTTAACTGTGCAAGTTAACTAGGCATTCATCCTATCATTGAGTTTCTTTGGTCGAAGTAATACCGCCACTTTCGAGCTTTATTCCAGTATCTGGGTTGTACGGAAATCCGATATTTTACCATTGTTCCTTCCTCTTAGCCACCTTCACATGGATCCGCAACTCGCTCAGGTCCGCGCTCACGTTACGTGCTTCCTCCAGGAATACAGACCACTCATTCTGCTGTGGAGCCCGTTGTGCCAAGTCTGCCTCCGCCTACTCATCTGCCCATGACAGGAACACAAGTGTCTCCTGGGCTACCTCACCCGAATGAACCGATTTCCCCACCAACTTCGATGGCTTTCGTTTCGGAACCGCATGCGAATCAGGCAACTTTCACTGGATTACGTACGTTCTTAGATTTACCAAAAAATGAACGCTGTTGTTTGATGTGTTTGCAGATCTTCGCAGCCATCGTGGTGGTACTCGTTGATTGCAAAATGTTCTGCCTTCATACGCTCAGTGTGGCAGATTTCTCTTTAGCAATAACCTGAGGGTATTGAGCGATAACGCTCAGCCAGCATTGTGTGTTTCTGTCCTCAGAGCAATCCTCAAATGATTCAAAAATAGTACACGACTCAATAGCGTTACGTGCTGAACCATCGTAAAGCACTCCAGACACTTCTTTTTCACAGACGCCGGTACTGCAACAGACCTCGAAATTTCCATGAATGGAAGTTTCATACATTTGACTGGGGCTTTCCTCTGTGTTAAGCTAGCACTAAGTCCCTCCCCCATCCACCTTTATTCTTTTCTTTACAATAAGGCTTTCAAATAAGTCATGGCTGTACGGCAGTGAAGCATTGGTGTCGAGCACTGATGTCATGCTGTCGTTGATGATGATGATGAGAGGTTCCCAAGAGATATCCGAGCTTTGTAGTATTTCAGTACGTCCATCTGGAGCTAAGGCGCTCATCAAGTAGTTTCCCCGTTCTACATCTCTGAAGACAGCAGTAGTAGTCTTTCTACTTCTCTGCGGTCAGCGCACACATCATTCATTATTCTTTGGTCAAGATGTTCATAGGAAGTAAATCTGTCGATTCTTGAATCGTAACCTGTCAGTACTGGGAGCTTACGTATTTCGAAGGACTCACTAACAGTCCTATCTTGCAATTATGTGTATTTCGTAGGGTCCTGGACTTCACGAACTGGTGTGTGGTATGCTTCACTTCGTTCGGTTACCTGATATACTCAGCTAGAGCGAACAGAAACATTTTGTGTTGTTGTAACGTAGACTGTTTTCTCCAATATTATCAGACCTAAAATACAAGATTCTCAACTCGGAGTAAGATTGTTCTTGTGTGTAGTTTGTACGCGTGACTTTGGTGAGAAGAATGTGTCTATGTTGATGGGTTCAAATATCTGGCAGCTGCGTGGGCCGTAACTGTGCTGTGATAGAAGCCAGTGCGCACACGATTAAGGCGCAGGCAACTTTTGATAACTTGCGCCACCTCTGGTTTCAGAAACAAGTTTCACTAAAGCTAAAGGGTCGTGTGTACCTAGCAACTGTAGAAGCATTCTTGCTTCATGGCTGCTCAAAACGCCTGTCAAAACATGAGATTACTCCAGAAATCCCGCTGGGCGTAGACTCTACGGACAGGCGATTGTTAACTCACCAGAGAGTGGCGCTCGTATACTGATCTTCCTATAAACGTCCTTTCGACATTAACATTCTCTATCTATTTCAATGTGTATTTTATGGTGATATGAATAACAATATTAAGCAGATATGTGGATAGAAAGGGTGGCCTCAACGAACCTCATTAGTTGTGATAAAACCTGTGAATAGTTTGTTATAAACCCTTGTACAATCAGAAGTGCACGAAGAGCATGTACGAATTCCAGTGACTTCTCTCGAGGCTAACATTTTTTACCATCGTTATATGTGACGCTGCGTAGATATTTAACGTAATGCGTAGACGTGATCAGTGCACTGGACGCCCAGACGAAATTCTGCTTGGTGCTCATTTCACATGCATCGAAGTCACATTATTATTGAAACCCGTAGCTAAATAATGCTAATATAAATGAATGAATAAATAATGAGCCATTAGCTGTGTGATAGCACTTGCAAACCCTACACCTTTATGGTTAGAATGAACTTTTTCGAATAATCAGTCCAGCATCATTTGTCTGGAACGGATGTTTGTTACCAAAGGAGTTCGGACAGTCTGGTTAGGGCAGAACACAAACACACTACCGTATTGTATCAACACTGGTGGAAGCGCATATGGCCTGGAAGCCTGATGGCGCTTCAAGACAAAGCTATATTAGTACTTCGTAAACTGGGGAGGCATATAAACTCACAAACTACTACACCAGTTGAGCTGGTTGAATGATATAAATGATTACAGAAGCCGATTGACAAATTGCTATTGAAAGTGTTCTACCCAGCGGTATAGACGATAAGTTTTACAATGTGTTAGATTTCCAATATTCTCTGTTATTAACGTACTAACAGACGGAACTCTGGTTCCCCCTTTACAGCTCTGTGTGTCCCCTGTTGCTTTGGGATCACATATTCTGAAGGTTTCTGTTTCCACCACGTCTTCTTATCCACGCTTAAGCTGACGCCTGACAGACCGCGTAGTCGAACCATGCTGTGGTCCTGAAGGGTGACACGTATCAATACATGACCGTAGCGATTCATAGCCCTAGCGATTAATGTGTGCGCGCTCGGAAACACCACATGCTGAGTTTCCATCCTCATGTATTGCAGTTGTCTTCCCAGTTGCGATTAGTTTCTCCGGATGTGGAAGATTTTAGGGCATCCTTAATTCACAGTTACCACAGTCCTTCGACTATCAAACGGGAAGTTTGCTTCTTGGGTTTAACGGAGAAATGCAGCAAAAATCCATATCGAGCAAGACCGTGATTTGAACTAATATTCTTATTCCAGAGCGGTCAACAATCGAGTGTTGAGCCTTGTCATCGTTACCTAAGGTTTATATGATCAGTTTGGCTGCATGGTTGCTCACTGGCGTTCACTGCGCCCAAATCCAGCACTGCTGAGGAACATTTTGTAGTCAGTAGATAGCTCCAGATCATCGTCAGCAACACCAGTAGCTGTAAAATCCTCATACTTCCGTACTGTGGTTCTGGCTGCCACAATTTCGTTCGATTATTCGGGGAGGTGGGATAGGTAACGCCGCATCGGAGGCGGTTGCTGATGTAGTTGATGCGTAATTCCAGGGTTGTGGAATTTTCTGGCTGCCACAATTTCGTTCGATTATTCGGGGAGGTGGGATAGGTAACGCCGCATCGGAGGCGGTTGCTGATGTAGTTGATGCGTAATTCCAGGGTTGTCAGTGGAATTTTCATCGAGAGGGATGCTATGTATTGAAAGCTGTAGCTTGAAAGCATGAGCGCCATTGAGGGCGCGATTGGGCCATGTATGACATTGACTTGGCTCGGGTTCCCCATCCAGGAAGACGGCAATGACCCATTTCATTCACTACAAACGTTAGCACTCAGTTCGTCCTAGCGAATCAGCTCAAAGAATGAAACAGTTCAAAGTAGACCGGTAGTATGTATAGATAGCCAAAATGTGTGGTAACGAACTCTGGATGAATTACTGAATTTATCATACTTATTCGGGGTTAAGAATACCCAATCCGTTCCGCTTTAGAGAGAATCCCTGCATGCTTTTTCTATATACATCAGTCTCGTGTTTGGTTTATCTGAAACGGCACTACCATACTACCCGTTGTATTATTAAGATAAGGATAAGCTTTATATAGCATGCTAGCTAGTAAATTGACTGGGTCTCTCGAGGGTTACTTATGCATATAGTTCTTCGAGGTTTTACATGGGCACTCTGTTGGAAGTATGATATGGTACGAATTCACGCCTTGCATATAGTTCTTCGAGGTTTTACATGGGCACTCTGTTGGAAGTATGATATGGTACGAACTTCACGCCTTTTATGAGACAGTTTTTTCCGATGCTTCCGAAATGTTTGTCTGGAAGTCAAGTTTTCGGTCTGTTATTTTGCAGCTGCCTGCCAGCCAGTGACAGCCACTTGGTTTTACGCGACGGTTGTGAATCAATCCAGAATATGGTGGCCGTTTTCTCGCTACGACAATTCCCGCATCGAGGCCGAAGCTTTCAGTTCATTCAGTTGCGCCAGTCCATCGTCTTCTGAAACCCTTGTAACTGCTGATGAATCAAAGGATGATATAGTGGTTCCTGTTGAGGGTGGGCGGTATGATGTGTATGTCAATCGTCGAGAGCGTCGCGCCGTCTACTGGGATGAACCAGTGACCGAAGTCCGCCGGGCTACTTGGTTTTATCGGTGAGTGATGACGGTTCAAAAATTTAGCTCTATTTGCCTATGTCCCCATAAGACAGACGCAGTAGCTTTCGTGCCGAACACTGTCTATCTTCTCTTTACAAGGCGGGTATGGATGCCTGCACATCTCACCCTGGTTTCACAAACACCCACGCCTTTTCAATATGCGGGGCTCGGATCCAGTCAGCTCTCCGCTGCAACAGAAATGTGTAGCTACGTGAAACCATCTCAAACACCAGATGCCATAAGTTGTAACCACTGTTGTACTAGGTATTTCGTTCATTCACCCTCAGTATCTCACCCTCTGTGTAACGTCCAAACGCATCCGTCAGGCGCATGCCTGTCTACTTCTTTATCGTCCATGAAATCCGCCTTAGTCTCTTTGGCTATTTGTGTAGGATTTTGGATATTACTTGGATACTACGATAAACTGTGCATATCATCGTCTACAGGTGCGAGTAGAGCAATTTCATGCTAACATCATGGTATAAACTTTAGGCTGACGGATCATATTCATACGAGAACGATTTCATTTGGAACACTATTCTGGCTACACACTCGAGCCGTCCTTCATGAACACGGTTTCATCCTGGTGATCTGCTAGAGACCGAAAACAGCAGGTCTGAGAGTTAGGACGGACAATTTATCCCTTGGTGCTTAACAAAATTCATCGTCGTCGTGTTATTTGAAACCCACCAAACGTAGCTAGTCTGCTGTGGAAGATGAGCTTATTGCACACTATCACTGATGATTGATCAGGTGGTTGCTGATGTGTTCGTCGAGCTTGGCAACTGACTTGCGAACGAGGATACATCATCAGTTGGCTGTATCACCCTCTTCACTACCTTGTGGGTCTATGTATTATCATCATCGTTACAATGCTCATTTTTCTATACGTTGTGAGCTATGTCTGACAGTTTCAGGAGAGGGATCTGCAATGACAATAGCCACCTGAAGCCTCAGTTCCATGTCTTATCGTTACCAGCCTTTCTTCTGTCAATGGCTTTCGTCATTCCATCAGCCACCAACTCGTTTGAAGTAGTCTGGCGATCGTCAACGTGTTCGTTATCCAGGCCCAACTGAAACCGAAACATGTTGTCAACTTCCACAGATGGATGTTATTTATTGCACTTTTTCTAGAACTATCTTTCAAACTGATATTTTTGGCGCTAAAACCCGAATTCGGATCAACCATTGATTTTGGTGCCTCCGTTTCCACCACGCTTACAGTTCTCCCAATGAGGCTCGTGTGTTGCCGTTCTCTGAGCGTATGTGTGATCTTCTGGAGGTACAATACAAACTGACTCTTGAGAACAATCTATGGGGCCAGCGTTTTGAATTGCCCTCGGAAGATCCGCGTGGTGGGACTGATTATTTCATTTTTCACAATCCACAGGTAACTGGTCCTCCATATTTATGCGTATGTTATCTGTATGAGGGAAATCTTTTTCAGCTTATTTTATGCAGTGGACGTCTCCATTTGGCCACATTCCCTAGTTTAGCTCGCTGGTAGCTACCCATGACATTCATCCTGTAGGTGGATGAACTCTAGACGAGTGGAGGATTTATAGGTCTTAGTAATCTCTGTCCAGAGAAGTATGTGTCGGTTTTTCAGAAGATACTCTCTTCAGCAGCATCTTTTAACATATTTTGGTAGTATAATGAGTAAAATGCTAACAATACGAGACAGTGTCAGACATAGCCCTGTCGTACCCTCAGCGACGCTCGTGCATCCGAGCTATTGCCTTCAATGCTTAGCTCCCTTCCCAATCTCCCCATTTAAAAGTCCACTGACAATCCTATATTTTCTCATCAGTGCGCAGCTACCTAACCCGCTTCTCCAAATCGTCGGTGAATAAAACTGTGACAGTTGTGACCACTGTACGACAAGTACAGTTGATAATGATGATGATGACGACAGTCAGCTGATTTGATTGTCAATCTACATAGGCCTTCTGTATGAATCCCGTCCCATGGATCTCCACCTTTTTGCACCATACACAACTTCCCAGAGTGGGCTGGTTTCATTAGGAACTTTCTCCGAGATCAGTTAGTCGGGTCACTCATTGTGGCACTCATAGCTCCAGCGAACAGTCGTAGCACAGGTGAGCAGTCGGCGGCCGTGTAGTCCATGAGGATACACTGATACTTGTGATATCTCTACCCTGCCAGAAGTCTATCGACTGCCACTTCTGAGGAAACTTCATGCGATTCAACTTGAATGAGCCAAACTGCCGGGTTTTTTTCTTGACAAAATCCTCTCCTAACTTCAGAAGACGACCATCTGAAATAAAAAAGCTTTACATTCCCTCTGATGTTCATGTCCAGCAACGGAATGTCCAAGGAGGTTACTTGTGCTGTAACACGAATTGCAGGAAACAGCCATTTTCCGTCTACGAACCGTTGTTCAGCTGCTCAGTGCTCAAATGTGCAAGGATGAGTCGCACTTTGTTTCGTGGACTAACTAGTCACAGTAAATGGTGCATTAAACGGAAAAGATTGAGTGCGATACCTACCCCAAATATTTTTCGCCAAGGATGTTTTCTCTATCGCTACGTGAAAAGCGTCATCCCGGATGATCGAAGAGTTGTATTGTTTCAACGTTAACTGTACGCTGTACTTGAACATCGAATTGGACGCAGATGATGGCGTTACCTGGAGACCTAACTGAATTCCGGCTCAGTATGCCGTTTTATTTTTTATTCTCCAACAGAACGCGCCACATGAAGTTAGTCTCCGGTTTCGGATGGTACTTCATTCGAGATATCAAAGTATTTTTTCTATTCATGTCATGGCTAGTGAAATGCCTATGTGTTTTTAACCTTGAAGGTCTTGGTTAAAATGCTTTACATTCAGGCTCCATCAGAATACAGTGTTTTTTGCAAGAGGGTACACTGTTTGAGGTGATTATATTTCTTTCATGCTTTCATGAAAAAGCATGGTGAGGGAAATATAACCAATTCTCCTTACAACTTTAAAAGTTTCGTAAATGAACTCAGCTCACCTTGGAGGAATAGCTGTGAAACCTTTCTCTTTCTTCCCGGGTATTTCTACTTTCCCGTCATCTAGTGTTAGTGTTGCTAGCCATTTAACCATAAAACCATGAGTGGTTTGTGTTAACTTTCTTTAAGATACCACCAACAGCGCTGGTGGCTTATCGTCTTACTTTAATGCAAAGCTAATGTGCATCTCTGACCACACTTCTTCCAGTCAATGATACAGTACCGTGCATGGCCTTATTCAAGTGTTACCGCGCCTGGTGCATCGACCGTAATCACGAAGAAGACACCCTCTTCTTCGGATGATCTTCGCCCAAAGGCTATCTCTACCCTTAGCGAGGCTGAGCACGATAGTCGGGTTTGTTTTATACGTCGTGGTTTAGATGAACAGTTGACACAACAGTTGGAAGAGGGCGAGTTTCTTCCCGTGGATCACGTCTACTTTGTTGTCCATGGAATCGGGTCCGTCCACAACTTGAGAGGAGAAGGTTTGGTTGAGTGCGTGAACGGATTGCGGTAAGCTGTCTTGTCCATACACTGAGTACCAATATGTTCCAATGTCACTCATCCTTCTCCTTCTGAAGCACTTTATCCCAACTATCCAATGCAGCAAGATGGCTTAGTGGTTAGAGCGCGGATTTGCGGACTGGAAGGTCCGTGGTTTAAAACCGCGATCCGCTTGGGCAACCTGGCAGTATCCCGGCCCTCATACTTCCTTCGGGTGGCATGGCAAATGGGCACCGAAAGGGTGTTACAGCTGAACGTTTATTATTATTATTATCCAGCGCAGCATGGAAGGTGACGTTGTCCTATAGTTTGTATAATTGAATTTCCGAAGTGGAAGTGTTAGTATTACCGCTCCTGTTAAGCCCAGCTGTTATCAGTCTTAGACTACTCCTCTCGATCCCCTGTGAGTGGAAACCCTGTAGGACTAACAATGTGCTTGCAGGTTTGTTATCTCCATGTATTGTGGCCTATGGGTCTTTTAGCACGTACCAGGCTTGCGTGAAGCACATTCACATGTATGCATGTATGCATGTATATATTATGCCGATCAAATGTGTTGTCGTCCTCCTCACTCACGTGACGTGACGTGCTTCTGTTGTGCTCATGTGGTAGAATTTCGGTCTTGACTTCTAGGGTTTACGGCTTTTACACTGGAACCAGTAACTAGAGAGCCGTTTTATTTTTTGTTGACTAGCGGTTAACACCAGCAGGTGGCTGTTTGTCGGGTGGCAGTTGGTTTATTCTTCGGTCTGACGACGTCTCACGTGTCGACGAACAGACTGGCAGGCATCTGATGAACAGCGAATAAACGCACCCGAACTACTAGTATGTTCACATACAGTTAACACAAGCAGTGACCGATAATGATACTTGGAATAATGCATCATCATCTCCGTCAGTGATTTATGTTATATTTTACAGGGTCGTTTTCCAATGTGGTGGTTGAAAGGCTCATGGCGGTGTCATTAGGCTTGTTTGCAGACTCATAAAGTACTTTGACCTGACGTGAGCGACGATGATTTCACACCATCTACTTATGACTTTCGCGCACTTCCCTCTCTCTCTCTTGCAGTCGGACCGCGCTTATGACTTTCGCGCACTTCCCTCTCTCTTGCAGTCGGACCGCTCGCCAAATTGCTCGTAGTCATTTTCCGCATCACGATGGTCGCGCCGAGTTCATTCCGATCATGTGGCATGACAATCTTCACTCGGATGCCACTGGTGTGGACGAACAACTCAGTCAGATAACGTTGCGTAGCATACCCAAGTTGCGCCAGTTCACCAACGGAACGCTGACTGACATCTTGTTCTACACTAGTTCCAGATATTGTCAAGTGATTGTGGACGCTGTGGCCAAAGATATTTGCCGCTTTCGGGAACTGTTTTTGGCTAGGAATCCGAACTATACTGTAAGTCCTGGTGTTGTATTCGATGTAAAGCATACAGCCATTCGACGACTCCCAGGCCACTCAGTTGTCGCCTGTATTTCTTTTCTATCGCTGCTTTTAACTGAAGAAATGCACGTGATCTACCAAACTCCGGCGCGCCACCGGGGCTGGATTGAGCGTTCGTGTGGACACTACTCAGCTTAATGCCTTACCTAACCCTCTCACTAAAGGCCTGCTACTGTCTCATAGCACTAAATATTGTGCACTCTTCGATCGCGATGCTTTGTACGTACCATAGCATGCACAACTCATATCTTAATCTATCGTTCCAACGCAGGCTGCTATGTCCCTCATAATCATGCCACGTAACTGCACCTTCCCATTTCATATCACTCCATTGTGATAGTGGAGTCGTATGTAGGGATCCGGATTATTACTACGACAGTCACTCGCAGATCATCTGCGCAACGACATAATTTGAACCCTAGTATATAGCTGCATCGCTAAACTGGGCCGATGGGCCAGCAGCTTTTCCACTCAACCGCATAGGGCAGCCAGCTACACCTACATGGTAATCATTTCACCCCCGCCCCACAAACCAACGATTAGTTTTGGCCAGGAATTAGAAAACACTGATATGACAAGCAATCTGTCTGTGGAATACAGAACACTTGAAATTCGGATGGTCGTGAAAGCTGGGGCAGAGGACCTAAGAAACGAAGCATCCAAGGCAGCAAACATCTAATTATGTTACCCTAAACACCTCATCTCTGGCATAGTTTATAAGTATCCGAGCCCAGTTCCTTTCGTTTTCCGAAGGTCTAAGCTGCATTACTTTTAGACCCGTCATACCGGTGGCTTTATTTTGCTTCACACCTCATCAGTTGTGTTTCTTGCAATCAAGTACTATTAGTTGGTATGAAAGGTCAACGATAGCTCAACATCCATGGGGAGCGGATTTTTAGCTACAAAGTGCGCGGTAGCCTGACTGATCGATGGGGGCATATGTTGCACCCGCCTTGATGTACACCAAGTCCCATGTCTTGCACAACAACCTAGCAGTGGACCTTCAGTGAAGTGAGCGCGCAAGGTACGCAGCTAGATAGTGACTCAAATTTTGGCACTAGCTTTCAATCTACCTTCATGCACTTATTAGTGTTTGATCGCTTGTGTACTTTTTTGAGTGAATAGTATGGCAAGTTTCAAGTTCACTGTTGGTCGTACCTGTTTCTTAGCTGCTTCTGGTTATCTATACTCTATTTTACTGTCAACCTTCCTATCTACAGGGTGGATTTTCTATAATTGGACATAGCTTGGGATCGGTGATTGTGTTTGATTTGCTGGCACATCAGCGCTTACCCTCACAGACTATACCAGAGGTTGATTCTGCTGAAATCCCTGAAACCTCCTCAGAAGACAATGATCCTGACAATGACCATCCTGTAGAGGATCGTACAAATGAGGAAATGACTACAGATAAAAGTGAGCAAAGCAGTAGCACCGGAGGAGAGACTGAATGTTGGTCACTGGTCGGTCATGAAGACAGCGGAAAGCAGAGTCTTTCCGATCTTGGACGTCCCGGTAACGGGGCTGAGGTTGGTAAATTGGGGAATGATGCTGATGTCAATAGGTTGATAGAGTTGTTGGTACAAACCGGATTGACAGAGAACCAGACCAGCCAAGTGATACGCACGTGGTTAAATGAGAAAACCAAGCAACCACGTGTTGGCCGTGCAAATCAAACTGACCTCACTTCCAACAATAAATCGGTCCAGCTCCCGTCTCATTCGTTTTGGTTGGAAGGCAGTGCCCAATCACCTGCTTTGGCAGCCGGATTCGGAATGCCGGTTGTAATCTACCCCCAACTTGGATTTCCTATCACTGCATTCTTCATGCTGGGCTCGCCTTTGCCTCTCTTTCTGACCGCCAGAGGAATTAAGCAACTATCCACCGATTATCACCTACCTACGTGTCCTATGTTTTACAACGTTTTCCATCCGTTTGATCCAGTGGCCTACCGGATGGAAACTTTGGTGGATTCGACTTTTCAGGTAATTTTTTTAGGCTTTTTTTAAATTGCCTTACCGAATACATACGGTTATCGGTCAACTAGCATATGAAACATCATCTCCACGTAATTCCTAACTGTTTTATTCTCATGCTTGTCTTGAGTGACCGTAACTTTTTTGTGTTCCCTTAAGCTCTATCCGAATCAGTCATTCGTTAACCGTTTATTCGTTGCATGAATGCGTTGGAAACACATCTCTAGTCGTATAAAATTCCTCGCCTGTCACGACCTAACCAACTCTTTGGTTCAATGGTTCAATCGAACCGACATTGAAATTTCATGTCACCTCTATGCAGGAGTCCACTTTCTACCTTTTTCGTCCCACCCTAGGGTGTGAAGTACCGACGTTCAACACGGCTGTTGTTGTCAACAATGAGCAGGAAGCGGTGAAAACGTCTTATTGTTTCAAATGCTCAGCTCCAAAGATGGATTGTTGAAGCAACCAAATTAGCTATTACTCATGATGGCCTCAATGTGCGCAACATTGAGGGTCAAGAGGAAGGCTAAGATGGAGTTTAGATCTGTTATCACAAAGCCTCCACGGTAAGCGACAGTTGCGTCACAGCGAGTTCGGACATCGAGAAAGTCTCATGTTCAATCCTTCACTGTTTCCTGATGAAAATATGAAATAACTGTCCTGTGAGGTGTTTTCCTAAATGGAAAAAGATACAATGGACATCGTTGATATTAAATACGATGCATCTCCAATGCTCCTTCACTGGCTTTCAGATCTCTGTGATTTGGTGCAGTACGACGCGTTCTGTCCACAATTTGCTGACTAGCTTCAGGTTACATGCTCGTATGGATTTCTGGGCTTCGAAACAGCATTTTTCAGGGATTTAGCCAAGATCTTTATGGATCTAAACAACCATGAAAATGGTGGTTGGGAACAATGTGAAGTACTGTGTTTTATGGTTACCAGGTCGTTCTGGATTGTCTCGTACAGATTCCACGGCCGATTCGACAAAACTGTTGGTGATATTTCTTTGTGCTAGTACAACCAAGTGACCTGCTTATCAGTTATTCCTATTAACTTTCCCCCCTCGACGGTGACCAGTTTTACTGCGCAGCTACAACTGCCCCAACATGAATGAGGGTAGCAACGCCAATCGAATGCAAGAGAGCAATGGGTCGAAAAATCGGGTGCTAAGTTTGTTCAATAACGCAATAGAGTGTTCTGGTTGGTTCGAAGAAGGAACGCTGATTTGGAGCTTTTTTCGCGGAACAACTGTTCCTTCTGTGCTGTTTTTTGCTTGTCAGTTTCTCTACACAAGAACCAACAACAACAGCAATACACCAGTAATAAATGCTCCTGCATAACTGCCGTACGAACATGAGAAAGAATGTCCAGTAAAGGGTGAAAAGAAAGGAGAAGAGAGAAGTATTATAGCAAACCACCTGGTGTCTCTGTGCAAAAATGGTCAAGAACAAGATAATTATGCATGGTGACAGCAACAAAAATGCATCTCAGCATCAGTGGGATTGCCCCAACGTCCTTTCTGAATCTTATCCGAAACAGCTCCATCATACAACGACAAACTTTAGTCCGTCTAGGAAGTGACAGAATACTAGCCACAGGGATCGGCTACATGTCATGTCCCATATGGTAATTAAACTTGGTGCAAAGAAATTCTCCCAACCGGGAGGGCGCGAAGATCCCAAGGCACCCATTTCTTTATTGCCGCCCTTAGTTCATCCTCCTCAGCTGTAAGGACCTCGTACTTGTCGTACAGTGGTTGTAGCTGCCACCGTTTCGTTCACCAATGATTTGGGGGGGTGGGGTAGATAGCTGCACATTTGAGGCGGGAGCTGATGAATTGGGACGTAAGTACAGGACTGTCAGTGGACTGTTGAGTGGGGGGTTGGGAAGGGAGCTATGCTTTGAAGGCAATAGCTTGGATGAACGAGCGCCACTGAGGGCGCGACTATACCATGTCTGACAATATCTCCAACCGTTGGTGTCCCGTCCCGGGGTCCCCATCCAGAGAGATGGCAACGACCAGCGCGGCTGAGTTCGCTGGTAATAGCTTTCACACGTTGCCGCCAAGTCATTATCTGACCTCCTTTGGCTCGTTTTCACCCCTCAGGTGTTTTTGCCAACTCACGATTTGCCCTTCACAGGACTTTCGCCAACAAATGTTCGGAGTTGACAGCGCTGGTAGTTGGGACTTGTCCAAACCACCTAACCTGATGAGTTTCACTTGCTTCTTGAGTGTTGGTCTTACCTAAAAATTCTTTATTGACTACTCCAAACGTTCTGTAAAGTAAACTGCATAGAAAATCCGGGCCGAAACCCACTGGGCTATGTTGATGGTCATATCTTTTATATTCATTACCCAAGCACAGAACTCACCACGCAACGCGAAGAATTATCTATAGGGACAGCATGATGTTAGTGCGTTGTCACGACTCACACTTTTTGGAGTGAACCACAAGTGGCATCTGATGGTGTGATCGATTTGAAGTGCAAACTTTCTCAGTTGTGGGAGGCACCATGTGACCAAACGATGCCAATCGTTTCGGAAGTTTGTATTGCACTTAAACAACTTGCTATCAACACGCAACTGCAGTATTTCTGCTTTTCGTTTGTTATCTGATGCGTCCGCCAGACCGAGCCCCACTTACGCGGTCATGCCACCGGCAACGAGGATATCATCCAGTCTCTTGGCTGTTTTAGTACATGATGTAACGCACTATCGAAACTCTCTTTGACTTCGTCTGATCTACGTTCTGTTGTGGTATATGCAACGCTAATAAACAGGAAGTGATTCGTCTATACTTTGTGGACTGCTTCCGCAAATTTTGTAAAATGAACAGCTCAGAGATGACCATTAACCAGTATTTCATCGAGCAAGGACAGCACTCTCTGTTAGTTGCTACCGCAACCGGATCATCGGTTGAATGCGGTCGGAAGCGATTAGACAGTAACGGAGTCGTCATATTATCAATGTCGCTTGCATATTAGATTTTCGTTTTGGACACACAGCATCCATTAATCCAAAGCGAGTCCATCATACAACCAGGAAAGGTCTATCGCCATAATTATTTCAGATGGTGAACGTTAGAAGTAACCAAATGGCTTGGGCGTCCGTTTTGGAGGTTTGTGTGTATCGGGTTGTTGTTGCTGGCGGCTAACTGCGATCCAACTTGGTCAGTATTGTGTTTGCTTTTCGGCCGGAACCGTACATGAAACCCCAAAAGAATGTTTGTGTGGGAAGCGTATATTGATTGACTAAGTGTAATTCTGTGCGCATTGCACTCACTTATTTTTGTAATCTTCGAATTCGTACCATGACCACTATATTATCTTAAGAATCCAGTTAACTATTTAACGTCGTCCTTAGTCGATTCACCTTCTGCGTTCAGTCAGCATCGTACATCGTTAAGGCAGTGTTTCTCCTATCTGGCAAGGTGATATCAATGAACTACGTGTGACGCTCCTATCCACCTACATACATAGTGCTTTGAGTGAATATCACCGGCCTATCACGGACAACATTTACGCCCTTAGCAGTTATTTCAGTGAGGTTGTCTCATATACGCCACAAGTCTTCTCAATTCGACTTTTATATCATAACTGCTTAGAAGCGATCTGGTGCGAAGTACATCCCCTATCATCACATCTACTCAATCCTTTCCACTCTGAAGTGAAAGCATCTGATCTCAGAGAAAGTCCATGTTTTTGAACAATAGCAATTTAGCGTTGTAGAGATTTCGCGCCATGTAGTATAGTTACCACTTGCTCTCCAATCGCTATCTTTGTTCCCATGTTACCGAATTCATCACCACAACCGTGGCGTGACAGTTGTCTTTTCTCCACCAAGCAAAATAATCCTTTTTTGGCTTGGTTTCGAACACCCACTCCACTTTTTATGCTTGTAGCTTCATCTACAAACTTTTAATTTATCTCTCCCTCTTCAAATTGTGAACATACCAAACCCCCTATTTTTTTAAAAAAAAAAACTTCAGTCTTTGCAGTTCGTTGTATCTTTCCTCTTTATCCTGTCCTGTATCCAACAGCCTCGTGCAGTTCTCATGCCTCACCATAAAGGACGGAAACGTTTGCATCTTCAACTACGTGATAACTTGGCTCGCGTAGGTGCCGATTTGAAAGCGAAATTATATCAATCAGTACAATCGACTTGGAAGTCGCTTCAAGAATTCGCCATTTCACACGGGTAATTCATGTGATTGTTTTGCTCTGAACGTCGTTCCGTACCTGATGGAATAATAGATCGGTAATCATTACTTTTCAAGGTCGAACTAGGTTATCATTATCGATTCATTTCATATGAAAAGTTCAGCTGACCTATTTTTAACCGTGTCCTGCGTAAGGTGTGTCCTACTTTTGACTTAACGATATTTTTAATCTGCTGGCTGTCTCTGGAGTATATACAGTATTCGCCAAAAAGTCAGACTTGTCCGAGGTTATTACTGAACAATAGTCGCTTTGCCTCTTCATGTTAACTAGCTCCCCAAACCCACTTTGTTGCGTAGAATGGAAGAGACTGGCGTGTAAACGGGGGCCACATAAAATTGGCTTCATTTACTGCCAAGTTGTTTTTGTATCCAACACAGTGATTGCAATGAAATAACCAAGAGTTTATATTATATATATTATATACATTATATATATATATATACATAATGTAAATTATGGATGGCACGGGCACTTCATTACTAGCGTTCATTCTAATACCATCATGCTCAGGCCAGCTGATGGCTGTGAACAGGCCTTGGCCAATTCGCCTGTCGATCATATTCCTTCGTATATACACCGTAACTATAGCTCACCCGCAATGGTAGGTCGGTCCCCATGCGAACCGCACTATCGCTTTGGCAGTACTCAGATTCTACCAAACGTTTTCTCTTGCTGATGACTCTCACACATCACTATCGTTTATTTTTGAAAAGCATGGTCACAGACATAAAAAGTAAATGCAAGCGATGGATGTGGAGGGGTTACAGGAGAATATTAGATAAAAAAGAAGTGTCTCATTCAAAGTCGTACCATTAACAGTTCCGGTCAGATAAGATGAATACCGAGAATGTTTGGTATGGAGACAAGCGTGTAAAGACCAACAACCGAAGAAAGGACAAACAGTGCTGAATGCTCTTGAAGGCGCGGTCAGCGCTAGCACAGTCAAGGTTCGCACACCTGACATAAAGTAACCGCCATACTGAGTCTGCTTTGAGAGTCAACGGCAAAAATGTACATTCAGCGTACCACGCATAAAGTTGTCGTAAGTACGCAGAGTCCACAATGGCACCAGTCACTGACTGTGACCTTAGGGAATCCCAGTCCAATAACAGCCTCGGCAGATTGAGGAAAGCAGATCCCTCGATATGGAATGACCATCGGTTGGTGGACCAAAAAATCGGCATCTCAACCAATTGCACGTAGGACTGAGATTATGGTGAGGGAACGTTCATCAGCACCATACTTCTGCTTTTTCTTATTTCACTCCGAGTCCATCCGAGACTATGTTGACGTCTGTTACACTTGCTCGGCGCATTCACTCTTTCGACGTGCTTCAGTGATATTTCTCAACTTGTTTTCCACAGAATTAGACAGGAATCAAAGTTCGACTGAATTGTCCCAGTGTTTTTCGTAGACAAGGATATACACTGAAAATTTTCGGACATTCAAACTCCTTCATGTATGGTTCATTGGTCCTAGTCAGTTCCTGTGTCCGCGACGTTTTCGAACCCGTGTTCACAGCCGCTCTTCGCTTAGATGCATCTAACCTGTCTACCCCGAGTGGCTTCCAGTGCATACACGCCGCATGTAATTTGAAACCTTTTGTGCAAGTCACAAAAATCAGAAACGTAGCTGTATCCGACTAACATGCTTCGAATGGCCCAAATCTGGATTAACGCCGATTCAAAAACATCAGGCAGCAATCTGGTGGTGGGATATCATGGCATTTTTTAAATTTTGACTATGCTAAATTGGTTTGCCTTGGGGAGATCATTAATAATTGGTTGTGATAAGGCAGCGCAATCAAGTTCTGAAAATGTAGGTCTGTAGATACGGATACCACAGAGTAATCGAAGGGGGGTTTGAAATCCTCAAGAGTTCGTATCGTTTGTCCCGTTCAAATAGGGTCCCTAGGTGTTTCTCTATCGACGCAGCTGATGGGCTAATTTTAGAATCATGTTTCTTTGGTTTGCTCAACAAGTGCAGCGGTGTGTTAACCATCTGTGAGCTGTAGCACTCAGAGCAGGCAGCTGACTTCAACCGAACCTGATGAATTCGAGTAGCCCGGAAAGCCAGGGTTAGTCAACAGAAATGGCTATTCCGCAATACTGTTCTCTGCAACTTTTAACGTAGCTTAACAAGATCCGTAATCGGATGGATAACTGCGGCGTCATAGTGTCAAGCTATGCAACCCTCTAAGTACACTCGCTTACCACTGTGTTCAAATCTCAAGCCAACAATGGTCGCTTTGTTTATATTTTTTTGAAATTATATTTACTGGACAACCATTACAACCTTATAGATAAATGGGCAGGTATACCGGACACCGACACAGAGTAGTCCAGTCGTCGTGTAAAAATCTCTGGATAAGTGAATTTGACTAATCCCAAAATAGCCCTACCAAAGGATACCGTATGAATTGGCATGTTCAACTTGGTTAGTGAAAATGGCAGTTCTCGCTCGGCGTCTGCGGTTCACACGTTCGGAAGTGAGGGTGGCGGGATCTCCATCTACCACCCGTAGGTTCGGGTGCGGAGAACCTTGGCACATGCTCACGTCATACGCTGCTTTTGTGAGCTGTCAGACAAAAGATTACCATGTGGAAGCCAATCCATTGGGAGTTTATTCAGTGGCAGGTTACGAGCAGTTAGTGTATACTGTTGCAAATGCAGTCAGCTCTTTTGGGCAGGTTACTCCTGAATTACAAAAACCGTGTCTTCGTTTGGTACAGTTGCCTACTAACTGAGTGCCTGCCTTACTTTATTTCGTTTTGTTTCATAACTGATCGTGCCACAAATTGATCAGTTTAGCAACATTTCTCCACACTTATCATATGATCAAGTTTGTTCCCCCAGTGAATCTAGCCCCTCTTAAAGTAGAGCGCATATTTTGAAAGCTACCGTACCAAATACCTGGTCAATAGCGCTTCAAAATATCCCAGCCAGTTTTAATTGAACTATAAAAAGTCGTAGCCGTTTCCTTTTGTTGATGAGATCGACTATGTGTTTTTGCGGATTTGATCTTCATCTAGCTAATATAGCTCTAACTGATCTATCTTTTATATCTGGCTCAGTGACCCTCACCCTGTTTTCTTGCAAAATTGTTCAAAAGTGACCATAAGCTGAAGCCTGTTTATTCGGCTTAGGAAGTGTCCCGGTTACGCGCCGCGCAGGCGCGGCAACAAACCAGAACTCTGGGTTTATGGCAGCTTTTCGTATAACTTCACTCATCCACTACATGTACTATGTCTACTGTAATCACGTGCTTGCGCGTGTACCGATAAGTTCCACACGCCAATAGAATACTAGTGCTAGTAGTCACGCCCTTCAACTCTTTGTATCCTCAAGGTCGTAGCCACTTCTTTCTCACGAGTAAGACTAATTACAGTGCCCTCCGAGGGCGAAACTACTCGGCCTTCACCTCGCTGTAGTTAATGATCAGCTGTTACGAGGAATAGCTGGCTGCTCTTAAGATTCATATGTCAATGATCACGGTAGGTCCGAATTTCACAGACTGTGAAGCACACAATGGGGTGTCAAGCAGCTAACTCGCAACTGCATGAACTGTTTATAGAATTCATAATTTTGCTTTTACACAAGCCTGATCAAAAACTGGGATTTTACAACCCAGCTATTTTTCATCCTCGCTGTACCCGGACCTTACACCACCCCATTGTCTTTCACCGCACAGTACCAAACTCTTTCTCTGTGTAATGCTGCTAACACTTGATGTTTGGTTTACTCGTTCCCTATGTATCCGAACTCCATAAGTTCGCTGTACATATAGACACTCGTGATGTACATTAATTTGGTGTGACTAAGGTCCGTCATGAGTTCTTTATTTTTGCTCCACCTTTACGTTCTAATTCGCTATTCAAGGTTTTTCGCCAATCAGACTGATGAGTCTGATAGCCACGGCACTGGAGATGACGATGAACAAACTAACGTCTTCAAGCAACTTCTATCACGGCTGGACAATCAGCCCGGTGAGCGTGACGACGCCGAGTATCCTTCATCCGAAACGGAGCTGAGCTTTAGCAGTCAGTTGAACCAAAGGCGACGTATAGATTTCGTACTTCAAGTGAGTCTTTTTCAGTCTAGTCTAACTCCGTGGCAGCCTTCCCAAGTTGCCCTAAAATATACTTACTTTACCTCAATGTACTCCAATTGTTCCCTGAGTGAGGATGAACTAGTTTTCTCACTGTGTCGAACCATGTCTGCCAGTGGACAACGGTCACCAAAAGGGCTTTTGCAGACGTCCATCCACTTTTGTCCCAGTAGGTAGGGATTTTAACTCGTTTATGCCGGTACGTCACTTTTCCCACTTTTTCTCCTACTGTGTTCCAGGAAGCACCGCTGGAGAGCTTCAGCGACTACTTGTTCGCCCTAGGTAGTCACGCTGCTTACTGGGAGTCTGAGGACACTGCATTGTTTCTACTCTCAGAAGTCTATTCTCTGAAATCGGTGGTGCCCGTTGGACAAAAGCAACTTGAGTCCTCTTCTGTAGCTGGGGAATGCAGTTTCATCCCGCCCACTGTATCGCAGGACAACTGCACTCTGCCCACTCCATCTGCTCCGCACGAAGCTCGACCGTCTTTCCCCACAACCCAAACGCAGTCCGTTTCGTTTTCTTCGGTTTCCAGTCCCGTGTTTACACCTCATTTTAACACCAGTGCGACTGTTCCACCACTTTACACAGGCATATCGACAACCTATTCTCAGCCTTCTACCTTCGATTATTCACAATACTCCAATCCCTCCTCAGGTTCATCGATTGCCCAGTCGGTGAATACCACAATAGCACAGGTCTCGCCACCTTGCCCACCGTTACCACCTCCACCTGGTTAGTTTCTTTTCTTCTAACCGGTTAGTTTGGTGTACCTAGCAGTCATATTGCATGCTTGCATTCTGCATTTGTTTAGCCCGAAAGTTTTACCTGGTCTTTTGCAGTCCTTATGCCCAGCATCTGTTAGTTAGTCCCACTGCTCATCTCTTTTTATGAGAACTGAGTCGGTTTTTCACTTTTTTTTAAATCTTCGTCATTATCCGTGAAGACCACACTTCCAAAATATCACTCCGTGTTTGCCAGGTGGAGAACTGCGCTAGTCACTGTGGAAAATTGACACTTCTAACTGCTGTCGCTTCACGGCCGAGCCACTTGATACCCCCTCACATTAAGGATCTTGGGATGATAGAGTCTCTTCAAATTCCTCCGGAACTAGGTGTTCAGCTCAAGAAACCCGTCGTTGACCAATGTCAGGTTCCAACAGTTCGCGTCCGTGCCTACCCGTTTTCCTCACGTATCAACAATGAAGAAACACGGGGTTACCCGGACCTCGACAGCAACAGTCTCTGTACATACGTTGGTTTCGGACTAGGGGCATTCCAATTAGCAAGTTCATGGGCTAATCATTGAGCACTCTGGATGTCTCGAAGACTGTTCGCCACAGGACCAGGTGTCATCAAGGGAAGCACAATACAGATCAATTTAGAGATGTGAATACGCTTGGTAAATAGGGCAGCGTATCGTACCTCACTAGCGCGATTTCCAATTCAAAGAGGTTCGAACCAAAGCTGCCAATTGACCGGTGCCACGTGCACCGGTCCTTTTTCAAGTTCTGCGAATGTATCTGAAAATATTTCAAGCCCACTCGGTTGCTTTCGTTATGCTGAACTGCTTGGATGGCTGATGTGTTACTGAATGCGCGTGCTACCAACTGCCGGCGAAAGAATCAAGACTAGACCGAACGGGAGCTGTGTCCATAAGCAAGCGATGAAGGGTGACATCATGCATTATGTGAGCGAAGCAGCACGATGGCTGATAGTGCATATTATACAGAGTGTGGGACAGCCAAGAGACGTCGAAAAAGTTGATCACACGGTAACCTACAACAAGTAGCATTTCGATGTAGCTGTAAAGTTCTGTACGTAGCCAAGGTCTTAACTCGCAATTCCCAGGTAAGGGTAGCTTCACAACCGAGGAAGTAACGAAACAAATGTCCGGTAGTTTTATTTGGAAGCAAAACACATCTTATCTGCTCAGGTTGTGGATGGACCGAATGGATTTCGGTTGACAGTCTGGACTGCATCATCTGGCGCAGTACCGGGATGTCACGTATTTCCTATGGCTTTCCATGTTGTTTCGCTTTTTGTCTCTTCAGTCCCTCAGATTTTTGGTGTCTGGTTGCTATTCTCTCTTCCCGCTCCGGTCTTGTAGGTGCCTTCACGTCTGTCATGATGGATACTGGACGCTTCGCCTCAAAATAATCCATTGGTCGGGTCGGCATCTGAAAGTTCTGGCTGCCTCCTTATTAATTACACAGTAGTTTAACCAGATATCCCAATCCACCATCGATGTAACCTCTTTTGTGTGAGGCTAACAAAAGACCGACTGTCCTGGAGCTGTCTGTGTTGATTTGACCAAATCATACGCATATTTTACTGCGAAGATAGCGTTGACAATGTGAAACCCACAAGCCTTTCTAATGCAATGTATCGACCTCAAAAGGGCCCCAGCGCCATCATATGGTGTCTCCAACCATGGTTTCGTGTTCATATGTAACAGGACGAGCTGTACATTATCCACCGATAACCACAGGTGATCTGAACTATCGATGACCCGGGCTCCAATCCCAGCATGAACGCCTCCAAATTGACTGCGGGCCTCCGACTTGAAATTTGTTTCATCAACAAAAGATGCAAAAGCCACTCTTTACTGATTCTTATTTTGACGCCAGAATACTAGAAAATATGGTGTCCGGTTTTTGTATAGTGATCTTTGCCTGGAGGGGAATTTGCGTCCCAAAGATTCATGAATGACCTCTGCAAATTTGGAGTCGTTTTTCAAAATTTGGCAATCCCACGCTAAATTTCATGCCACCGTAATGAAACGGTCTTTCCTGTAAACATGATTCTTTCTTTTCGTGATGACGGAAGGTTGGAGATCGAGGACGAATTCCGAACTAATGTGAGAGCGTAGAAGTCCGGAAAACTAACCAACTTGCCAACTAATATATGCGTTCCGTATTTCGCCTGTGGTAAGACAACCAAAACTTCCCTAGCTTTTTCACCTGTCGTTGTTCGTCCACCAATACAAACCGAATCATTGCCGCACCAAATATAGGGCTTAATTCATCCCTTCATCCTCTCAGGGCGTTCTTGACTATTTCCATGTTTAACAGTTTTTTAGTTGTCAAAAAGTTGTCGCCTGTGGGAACGGTGTAATGTCACTGAGAACAGCGGAGGTCGATGTGTGTAACACCTAACCTACATCCAGATCTCCAACAACTTGGTAATCCCTGAGCACTTGGTTTTGGAACTTAACGTAATGATTGAATGCCCTTACATTCCCTTTTCCAGGTCACTTGTCACAACAAACCCCCAAGGATATTCGGCCTTCGTATTTTCCTGCCTATCAGCATCACAAAACGAGGAATACTGCAACCCGGCCACCAGCGGCACTCGCACAGTTATATCAACCCACCGCTACAGAGCGAGCGCCTACGCCGGCTCTTCAGACAAACCTGATCGCCTCCCAGCTTGCAACGTCTTACAACTCGAATAACCCAATATTCCCTGCACCCCTTCCACCTGATGTCTTCCCTGTAGATCCTGGGACTAGCATGCCACATCATTACTCTCCGGCTGCAGCACATTTCATCGCTACGACGACTTCTGATCTGACGTTTTCAAACCCTATACCGTCTGCCTCATCGATGACCGCCTTGATGCCGCCGACCGCGTTTCCTGGTCCTTAGTCCTTAGATCGGAATGAAGGTTTCTCTCTTCCCATTTGCTGTGTTGTATGACCTTGATTTTTCGTTTCATCGTAGTTTATGTGCATGGAATTGGTGGTTTTCCAATACCCGCCACTATTAGTTCGCACATATCTGTGATTCTTACGTCTGCCAATCGCCCATCAACTTGTCCATTCGACTAATTTGTGACCTCTGAACAATTGTCAGTTCTTTCTTTGTTTTGTTTCCGGGTTCGGTTTCTACGGTTTTTCGTACGGACTTTTATTTGCCCGACGTATTTAATAACAGCTGTCGTTTCAATCAATCATGTTTATCTGTTTCAATCATAACTTTGAGGTCTACTGAACGAAATTTTAATATTTCGCACTACTATTCCCCTGTTTACTGCAGGTCATTAGTCCTCGAAATCGCTGGCACCAGTCTAAATGTAGTTGTCAGCCCCCATGGCTCACCCAAAAGACTATCCAGGGCACATTTACGTGATTAGCAAATGAACGCTAGCTGTGCCTTGTCGGATGTCTGCGATCACTAGGAACTTCAAGTAGATTTATCCAAGGATCTCTAACAGCTCAGAGGATAAAGTGCGAGCCCTAGGCCGACAGCCCTGCATCCATGACATTTCGGTCGTTTCCGTGGTTGAGCAACCGTACAGAGTTTCAGCCCTCTTGCTTCCTCAGAGTTGCGTTACAGCTGAACGAAAACTATTCAGACCATCCGTTTAAAGCTCAAGAGGGTAACTGCTCGGCAAGCTACTTTATGTGATGGATCCCGAACAACTGGATAATCTAGTTGAATTGATTCCACTGGTAGAATAGGTTTCTCACGCATGGTCGGAAAGTGTCTATGTCGGTTAAATACACAACCCCATGGGGTATCGGACCGCATTCGTGACACACATGACGTACTTCCGTTTTCCTTCAGGCGAACAAACAATTTGAACATCTTCCTGGAAATTGTCTCCAATTTCCAGTGTTTAACCCGCGGGTTTGTAAGCGGCTTGATCCCAGTCATTTTGGATGGGGATCGAAATTGGTTGGTAAAATTCTGTGATCAAGAGGTCGGCAGTAACCACGAGCAAACAGTCGGCACGAGATATTTGACCTGCTTGAATGATGGGCGTTTCCGGAAGTGCCAGCCGATGGAAAACGATAATGGCTACCTAGCAAAGTGTAAGATTAGCGTAAAACAAGTGATATATTTTAAGGTGCGGCATTGCAAAAACAGTTCGTTTGCGAAACGCGTGGAAACGGTTCAGACTAAACGCCGAATGGCATCACTGTGAGTAGAGCGATTTCCTGAGGATTCGACGTTTCACAAATTTCAGTCCGGTTGCGTAAAACAAGTGATATATTTTAAGGTGCGGCATTGCAAAAACAGTTCGTTTGCGAAACGCGTGGAAACGGTTCAGACTAAACGCCGAATGGCATCAATGTGAGTAGAGCGATTTCCTGAGGATTCGACGTTTCACAAATTTCAGTACGGGTGGAGATGGTACAAGTGGTTAGAGCGCGAATTTACTGACCGGAAGGTCTGCGGTTCGAAACTGACTCCTGCCTCTCGACTTCCCCTGTCTAGGCTCGGGTAACCTGACAGTATCTCAGCCCTCGTGCAACCTTCGGGTGGCATGACAGTTAGGCACCGGAAGGGTGCTACAGTTGAACGGAATTTCAGTACGCACCATTACTTGTTTCCTCTGATACGTTTATCTGTGCATTATGACCGCTCCACTTTGATCTGGTGGAACCGGTTTTGCACAGTGTACCAGGAAATCCCCGGCATTTGCCTTGTAATTACCCAGACGACTATTCTGCTTCTGCTGCACTCAATGATTGTAGTTAACCAAGACTACTTTGGAGTTGATTGCAGACGAACCTTCGCCATCTTGTATGGAACGGATAGGATACAGGGAGCTTCTGCGAATTTGTAAGCGGTACTGTGTAGCAATTTGGTGAAAATTAATGAACAACCTGCTACCACTCCGAAAAAAATCGTTCAGCTGTAGCACCGTTTCGGTGCCTAACTGCCACCCGAAGGGAGCATGAGGGTTGTCATACTGTCAGTTTGCCCAAACCTAGACAGGATAACGTCAGGATGTAACGGTCGCGTTCGAACCACGGACCTTCCGGTGAGTAAATTCGTGCTCTAACCACCGAGCTATCCCCCCCCCGCTACTACTCTGCCCTGTCTACGATTCATCAGGTAAACGTCATACCGCAATTTTGACAAACACTTGTTCCTCCCAGAAAGCCAAATTATCATATATCGTACCTGTAACTTCAGTGCGGACGATCATTTGAATCTCTAGAACATTAGCCATGCGAACAAATTTAGCTGATGGGTACATTTGGAGTGGCTGCCTTAACCTTCCGAGTGGCCAGGTTTTGATTTATCTGGCCTACTTGGGCCAATGTGTGGTGATAAGGTCGTGCAAGTTGGGGTTCAAGCCCCCTTCCCGGCTTTCAAGCGCGAATCCCAAGTTTTGAAAATTAGAAACAAACAGAAGGACCAAACGTAAACAAGGCGCTGCGAGTTTTTTTAGCTACCACGGAGTCGACGCGATGCCGTTTCTTAAGGAACGGATGAAAAGAGGACATACATCCATATGGAGAGCAATGGTACTTCTTGATCCAGTAAGCCGAATATACGAGTTCGCTCATTCTGAAGGCGCTAATTGAGACATTTGCTACATAACCCTGCTTATCAAACGCCGGGATGGATCATCATCCGGGAGTGAACCAAGCAAAGTGCTGAGAAACTTATTCCACATAAATGTGTGGATTGCGAGATGAGATGAAATGCGTTGCATGGGTAGTGGACAAAGAATAATGCCAGTGTAACGGGGCGATAAAGTCGCAAAATGGCGAAGAAAACAAGTCGGCAGTCCATACAGACATGTCAACGCTCAATTACTTCAAATGCACAAAATTGTGAGATGCTTTCCCGTACAGCCCGAAACAGCTAAACGGTCATCTGTGAAAAGCACTTTGGAGTGGCTTTTATCTTAGGACACCTAAGCTCGACACATGCGGCACTAATTGAGAGGCAGGTATAAGGTTATAAAATGAACTCAAAGCGATCTAATCAGGAAACCGACCGATCTGTACGTTCCGGGGTTCTTGTATGGTTTAATTAGGTAGAGTAACTAGGGGATCGGTCCAAAAAGTTACCCGAAGGCAATGGGCGCGGTAAGTAAGGCCCATCCATTCGAGTAGACGAGATCTGTGTCAGGAAACATGAACCAGGTGTTATAGCCTGTCGTTCATGTATAAGTCGATATGAGGGAAGTGGGGTTTAGCTGGTGGTGCGGACAAACCCAACTTACATTCCGGAAATCGACCTTTTGCCCGTTGTGCTGGCTACTGCTAGCGCGGATTCAAGATGTTAGGTGCTTTTGACGGCGATCTGGATGCCAAACAGATGATGCAAGTCGGGGAAAGTATGCGCCAAACGGTTAACAAGGACAGAGTCATTTAGGAAAAAACACCCAAGTTTTGGTTCAACACAGATGCACACCCTCGAGTGCTCCCCTCCCTGTGAATAGAAATTGACAGGTTGTATCAATCCAACTGCCAATTAAAAGCGTGGAGCGAAAACCATGCAAGGAACCTGGTGGTTTAAAATACTTTAAGGTTACATTGGAGATAAGGCTTAGTTTCAAAGTAGAATTTCTATTCTGTGTGGGGTCACTTTCCTCGTAACACGTGAGTGTGTGATTTCCGTGTACCGTCAACCGATCATTCGCACATTTTATGATTTTCCCGGTACACACCATATTCACAGATCCGTTCAGGATAACGCTAACTATCAACATGAATAACTAACTTTAAGAACACAGCCACCAAACTGATCATATATATATGATGCCTACATGACTGCTGAATCGTTCATCGAAATATGCGATGAATCGGCCTTCCCGGTAGTACACCAGTCAGATTTCTTCACTTGACGATGCGTTGCAGACGAAATGCTGCACTGAAATGAATGATGCTGCCCACCTTTAGTATCACATAAATAGTTTCTGATTTCTTTATCGTAACTTTATTTACGGTGGAAATTTGAAATATTTGGACCACTCTTCATGTTTCGCTATACGTTTACTCGCTTCAGCGATAAGAATTTGTTGGTTCATGGCGTGTTCTCCTTTCCGCTCCTGTAGCCTTCACTGCTGCCCACATTCTCGTTTGCTTCGCTCTGGTTATTATCAGCTTGCGTTTTTTACTCTTTCTTCGCATCCGCGAACACGTGTAGGTTGGGCTGGATTAATTTACCAAAATCCTTCTGTTCTTGAGTGTTGGCCAGCTACGTTTAAGATTTTTTCTGACAAACGTTGCTTGTTCATTCGTCTGTTAAGAACTGTTGTAGGCCCGGAATTCGGATGCTGTTTATGAAGACCATCACGTAGTACTTCGCCCTGGTATGGTGCATTATCGCGCTACGTACATTGAAAAGTGATTGCCAGTTTGCAAGTTTGACCACTCAAACCAGTTGACGTACGGTTTGACTTCACAACAAACAATAAAGTCTCATCGATATAAAAAGTGATATGAAAGCACCACCGTGTCTTCTGTTTCACACTTTCCAGGTGGCGTTTCGTGAACTATAGCCTAGACGCAATTGCGTTGAAGCGGTTCGAATAAGCATTGAAGAACTGAAGAAATTTTCAACAGCAATATTGATTCCTTGGTGTGGTTTCACGTCTCAGGCAAAGCCTTTCGACAGCTCAGCACTAGGCCCGGTTCTTCAGTCGGGTAGATGATTTATCCGTCCCATCATAGCGTTGTACCAGGCTTGCATTTCAGGTGTTACCCAGCGAATGTAGATATGAAGACCTGATCTGGCGATGCTATGAATAGACTCTAGGAGTACGAGACTGGGAGCCGGTTCCGGTCCACCGCAGCTCTCCTTGACGGTAGGCAAGCCTGAGACACTGTGCCTGTTGGCTACATATTCAGCCTCATATTATGATTTCTTACTTGACTTTTTCAGGTGTAAACAGTTACAAGAGTGTGTCGCCGTTTTTGTCGCTGGAGACTAGCATTAGCTCCGCTTTGCTTCCCCGGTGTCCGAGAATGAAGAAATTTGTATCTCATCTCGCAAGGCAAGCTCCGCCTTCTGCACTCCACTTTTGTACCAATCCCCTGCAACCGTTCTGTACGCAGTAACACGAAATTTGCGCGTGAGTGGCCTGTTCGCACTTTGCGACTGGTCAGATGAGTGCCGTATTTAATATGCCGAACAGCGTCAGGCTTCGTACATGATTAAGGCCTCATCTCTGTTGTTATCGTAAAGGCGTTTTCATGGAATTCTGGATGAGGCTTCCATGATAGCATATTATTTGCATTAGTACAATCAGCTACCAGCCCAGCTGCATACTTCGGTCCTCCATTCCCTGCCCCAATGCCACAAGTCGACACGCACTGGCACTGACAGAAGTATTATACTCCCTGCATCAGTTGGCTGGTCTGTTCAGGTCTGGGTTTCGTCAGCATGGTGCGCCCTGATCCTCCAGATTGTTAGAATGATAACGGACAGCAAACATGCCACTCTCAAATGACTTGGAATATTTTTAATTTAAAGCTTGAAAAGCCCTCAACTGAAAAAGGTGCCTCGCACCGCACCTGTTTTGCCGTTTGCTATCATGAAAACGCCTGACCAACTGACTTATCGGCGCTTTGGCATTTAAAATTTCTACCCAGCTGAGCAGCGACTGATCTGTTCCCTTCTGAAGTAGGTCGTCGTGGGCGCGGTCAAATGCCCTACTGAAGCTGACGAAAATGCGTGGATCCTCGACCGTACTCTCTTAGCCTTGCACGACGCCTAACGAACTGGTATCATATTAGCAACACAGAAATAACTGATAGTGGGCCGGCAGTTAGCAGACTGCCTCATATTCTTCGCAGGAAGACTCTTTTCAGGTCCTTTTATGGCATTTCTTTTCATTCTTTTTATGACCACATTGGTTTGGAGATTTGCTCATTGTTGTTTGAGGCACTGCAATAATAACTCTCCAAGAAAGATCTGATTCGTGTTCCGACAGCTACTTTGTTCGCATTGATCCCTCTCAAATGTGTGAGGTAAGCCAGAATGGTTTTTCACTGCTTGATTAACTACAAGCGGTATGGGTGTCCCGCAAGATTCTAAGCAGCAGACTATGAACCC